AGAGGATGCGGGATGCTGATGGGAGCGGGGCGCTGCGGGATGTGGGTGCTGCGGGATGCTGCGGGGAGCGGGGCGCTGAGAGATGCTGATCGCTCCCTTTCACGGGAGGAAACCGGGCCCAGCTCCGGCGGCCTTGCCCCCGGGACGGCGGGGACCCTCCGCTGCCTCGGCTGGGCRGGATAAGGAGGTTCGGGGGTCCCTGTTCCCCCCGGGCCGGCTGCGGGCGGTGCCCCCTCGGCGCTGCCCGCGGGTCTCGCAGGGAGTGGTGGCGGGGTGTGCTGCCCGTGTGCTCCGCACGGAAAGGGTTCCTGTACGCAGACACCGATTTTAGGGAGAATAAAGGATTAGGAAAGCCGGCTTTTGAGATATTAAGGGAGAACAGGTGTTCTTGCAATCATGGGGGACTTGTCTGTGTCTCAGAATCTGGGAGTTGTTGGGTTTTCTCACCACAGGGCAATATAAATGATTTGAAGGATGATCACCTCCAGATTTTTGATGGATGAGGTTGTTGTTTTGATTGATGAGGTTGCTGTTGACCCAGCCTGGCTCAGCTCTTGGTCGTAGCAGTGGTGCTGCTGCACAAAGGCCAGGTATTTCCTTTAATATTTCACATCACAGCACCAGCGAGTTGCTGAGCCTGAGCTGCTTCTGTTAGACCCRGTTCTGGCAGTCTCCTCCTGATTTACTATAAAAATGCCAACTTAAATGCTTCTTGAAGATTGCCAGGTTGATTTTGCTACATATTTTGCCAGCTTTGAGGAAAATAATCACGTGAGCCTTCAAGAGATTCCAGATTGGCATATAGCAGTGTATAAGCTCTCAGGAAAAGAAATCCTAGGCATGAGCTTTTTATTAAAAATATTTGACTTAATCAGGACTCTAATTTCTCTCCCCGATTTGTGATTTGGTGATGTTCCTTTGTATTTGCTGTTCCTGGTTTTCTTTGAGGGCTGTGTCCCTAAGGAAGGGTCATCTCAGGCAAGGCTCAGGCTGATGGGTGGAGCTGTGAATTTTCCACAACATGGAGTCATTTGGTGCTTCAGCCTGGCCTTAGGAGAATTAGGAGCTAACCTGTTTTGTTTAGTGTAGTAACAGTACACCTTTACCTTGCAGAATCTCTCTTTCCATGAGTTAGATTTTTAAAGCARGGATCCACACCTGACAGTTGATTCCTCATCTGTTTGAAAATTACTAAATGTTTTGATTGAGAAATAATAACCTGAAATAAAAAAAGACTGGAGGGAAGCCTGATGTTAAAATGAATAAACTGGCATTCCTTGGACTTGGTGTACTTGTA